ATGCGTGCCTGTGTTTGTGTGTGTGTGTGACACACAAACACAGGCACGCAACAAACGACAAATCAAAATGTTAATCCATTTGTTACTTGATGTTTGACGGTTCAGTGTCACTCATCATGTTTTGGTTTTAACATACAAACAAACATACATACATATACAAACAACAAACTAGCCTCGCTGAGACAACAACAGTGATGAAGATGACGATCTTTGTGACAATGACAACACATCAACATTGTTATCAACATTGAAGTCATCGTCATACTTCATGACGTCATTGCTTGCGCCATCTTCAATTTTTTTTAATAATCAATTATTTGTTTTGATTTATAAGTTATAAAACTAATTTTATATTTAATTACATTGGACAACAACAACAACACAACTTCAACATCAACAACAACACAACTTCAACATCAACATCATCAATCAATCAATCTTCGCTTTGCAACAACAACAACAATAACAACATCAACAAAAACAAAAAAAATATCAACACAAAATACTTCTTAATTGCTTTTCGGGTATACAAGTTTGCTGTTGCTGTTGTTGTTGATGTTGTTGTAGCTGTTTTTGTTGTTGCGAATCAACTGAAAGACCATCGTCTTCATCCAGCAAAACTTGCCTCTCTTGTTTCTTTAGTACATTTTTATCCTTCTGTAAAAAAAATCCAAGTCAGGGTAAATTAAATCGTATTAAAAATTAATCGATTGATTAATATCAGATTAAAACATTTTAATCAGATTTAATTAACTAGAAATGTAAATTCACACATAGCAGCATCAACAACAGCGTTTAAATCTGTCGTTAAACCGGATTTGAAATCGGAAGCTCTCGATCCAAATGCCTTATAAAAAGCCAAGCGCGGTACCTTTTTGGCTACACTGACATTCTTAACGACAGATGATGATGCTATTGAATGGTCTGATAATTTTGTCATGTAGCTATACTGCCATGAGATGTTCAAGTTCATTGTGCCATTTGGCTTGTTTTCTTTCTGTTTGTTTGTGTGTTTGTGTGTATGTATGTATGTATGTATGTATTTATGGATGTATGTATGCATGCATGTATGTATG